AGTCGCCATAGCCATTTGAGAGTGAACTCGTATCTGAAGCCATATCTCTGAGTTTTGAGTGGGCGCATGTCGCCAGTGTGCTGCGTACTGTTTACATGTGTGAAAAGTGTGTTTGAAAGCGAGTCTGATTGCAGCTGTAACGCCCTCACTGAGGGCCTAGTCACACATTCTAGTCTGGAAGACGTATCTACCAGGTATTCTTTCCAAAAAACTTATCTTTTTCGTTTCTTTTTTTTTGGGTGGATGTGACCCCGCCTCGGAATGTTCTTACTTTTTCTTTTTGAATGCAATGCCGATTTTTTTATTTTTATTTTCGATGGAGTACCAGAAAAGAGAATGCAATGGAAACCGTACATTTTCGGTCACATCCACTCCAGGATCCAAGGGAGTTGTTCCTTCAGGCTGTGTAGAGTAAAACCTGCTTAGGCTAAGCAGATACCTAGACCCCTTCCCTACTGGCGAAGTAGCCAGTGCTTTCCTGTTACCAGGTCTCTTTCGGTTAGGCAGGTACTAAAACTCAGCGCGCTGTGAAAATCAGGGTCGGCAAAAACAGGATCCGAGGTAGTGGTGGTACTAAAATCATGGTCGGCAAAAACAGGATCCGAGGTAGTGGTGGTTTAAAACAGATCCCAGAACAAAACGACCTTGACCAGCAAACCAAACAAAACTGAACTGAGAACAGATAAAATATTCACACACCTGGAATCAGAACAGACAAAATAGTAAAATACTCACGCGCATGTCCAGGAGCCCGCTATCAAAAGGCCTGTAGGTTGCTGGAAGGCCTTGGAAAGGACTAGGCTGCCATGGGCCTGCCCAAAAGAGTGTCCACGCCCTCAGGCCCAGTGAGGGAGTCCCCCGCTTGCCACAGAACGTGAGGAGGGCGGGCAGAAAGCAGGCAAGGAAGGAAAGGAAGGCATGAGAGGGAAGGAGAAAGGAGAGAAGGGAAGGAGGGAAGAAGGGGGGAAACGAGGAGGAAAAGAGAGTAGGACAGCAAGAGAAAAGAGGACGACATTTTCATTTAAGAAGTTAAGATCAAGTGTAGTACCTGTTCTTACCAGTTCAAGATATGATCCGTGGTCCAACGGACCAGAAAAGAAGACAAACAAATGACAGCAAGAATGGACAAAAGCAGTGACAAGAGAAGCAAGAAAGAAAACGGCAAGAAGAAAGAAGACACGAGGGAAAGGAAAGACGAAAAGCGAGGATGGAAAACAGGAAGGGGGCAGGACAGGAATAATTTACTCTTCAATCATGGAGGCCTCACAAGTATTCCTACAAAGGAGGTCCCAACGTCAAGCACCTGGACAAATTTAGAGGATTTTTAAATTGGTGCCAAGCACATTAAGTACTTACCACGGCCCTTTCCCCGCCAGCAGCTTCTCTTTCATTCGAAGGAAAAGTGACTCCTTCTTTCGCCTTTTTGATGCAGTTCCCAGCTCACCATCCTCGCTCCGATAACTGCGTGATCCATGCTGACACTTATGCACAGGCATCACAGGGGGCATTAAAACAAGGACTAGAGTTAGGCTACACGGTTTTCTACCCAAAAAGAACAACTGCCTAAGCTACTTGAATGTACTATTCGCGACTCCAGGCTTGCATGCACATCAAGCCACACAGAGAGAAAGAGGAAGGCACAACTACATGACAGTCACCCCCCATTGATGGAGAACAGGCACACAGTATAGAAAAAAAGGTGACAGCAGAACAGTGTGTAGCAGCAACCTCGAGAGTCAACTACAAGGGGGTTATGAGACTGACATGACAGTCACCCCCCATTGATGGAGAACAGGCACACAGTATAGAAAAAAAGGTGACAGCAGAACAGTGTGTAGCAGCAACCTCGAGAGTCAACTACAAGGGGGTTATGAGACTGACATGACAGTCACCCCCCATTGATGGAGAACAGACACACAGTATAAAAAAAAGGTGACAGCAGAACAGTGTGTAGCAGCAACCTTGAGGCAACAACAAGGGGTTATGACACTGCACGGGTGATAGAACTACTGCCTAAGCTACTGCAATGATACTATTAGCGACCCCATGCTTGCATGCACATCAAGCCACAGAGAGAGAGAATGGAAGCCAAATCTACATGACACCATTGATGGAGGACAGACACAGTGTGAAAAACAGATGACAGCAGAACAGTGTATAGCACCAACCTTGAGAGACAATTACAAGGGGAATATGAGACTGCACGGGTGATAAGAGACTATGATAGGAGGGATACAACAGGGCACATGCTAGGAAAAGCTCAAAGGGAGAAGAGGAAACCAAAAGCACAACCACGGCAACAACCCAAAACAGTGACAGCAACAACCTTGAGACGCCACTAGAATGGTGATATCAGTCTGCAGAAGGGATATATGGTGGTGAGAAGAGCCCGATCGGAGGCATATGCAAGGGTACATGCTGAGAGAAGAGGACATCAAAAGGAAAACTAAGGAATAGCAATATCTCATACATCCTGCAAAGAATAGCCACAAGGAAAGTTGGAAATGCTGAAGGGAGAATGAGACAGGAAGTTAAGATGAGAGTAAACAATATAAATCAAGCTCCATGGAAACCATTTTAGATGCCAGAGGGAAGCAAACATTCATCTGGCATACATGATAAACCAGACATGCACAGCTAAATTTCGTGAAACAAAGAGACACCACAGCACACATGGGTGGCGCAAAGAATGACAACTTACAAGAAAAGGAAATGTACCTATGAAGTGCAAATCCATATACCATACCAAGACAGAACTAGTGTGGCAGAGAAAGCAACATAACCTACCATGTAGAAAACGGAGGCAGCAAGGTCGAGCAGTGCCCTTGTTTGTCGCGATACAGTTCCAGGTTTATCATCCCTGAAGAAGAAAACGCACGCAGTCACTTCACGCATGTTGGAACAGAGGTTTGCACACTTCTGATCTGTCAATGACAGCAGATCTGTCAGATAACGCCATCTGCACAACACTATTTTGAACAGTACTCCCCCAACAAGCGTTTGTGAATGCAATTCGATCCCAAGGGCACAAAACACGGCCATTAGATGGAAGACATCGCTACCTCTGCAGCATGCAAACGTGATACACTAACAAAGGTCCTCGACACATAAGCATCTATGACTTCAGAGACAAAATCAAGATCTAGCGTTTCCGACTGCAAGTCGATCCCCAAGGGTACACAGCAGGGACGCTAGATGGAAAGCATTTCTACCTACTGCAACAAGCAAGGGTGGTATCCTGACAAAGGTCCTTCACAGATAAGCATTCGGGAGTTCAGATCCAGGCATCTGAGATTGAAGACAGTACATGCCCGAAATGAGTGTTTCTAAGTGCAAGTCAATCCCCCAGAGTACATGGCATGGTCATTAGATGAAATGTGTCACCATCTTCTGCAACAATCAGGGGTGATAACCTCACAAACGTCCTTCACACATTAGCATTCATGTGTTCAGAGCCACAATCCAAGTTTCAAAATCATCCAGGTTGGGGAATGAGTTTTTGGTTGTAGCAGGGATGTAACAAAAACTACAGAGGCTGAAACAAGAGCATCCCACACTGACAACCAACAAAAAAAAACAGAATTCAACAATATGGCAAGAGGAATACCTCGACCCTCCCAAAGCAGAAGCCCCAGAAAGATCAAGCTCCTTCTCTACAAGATCCAGCAGTTCCTCAATAGCTCCTTCGTCCTTCAAAAGCACAACACCTCGCAATCGGGCTTGCAGCCGTCCATACAGGACCAGCCCCTCCTGCATGTCCCACAACCAAATCCTTATAAGCATACTACCAGAGGACATTTCGATGCCAAAAGTGACAGAAGTCAATTCTCCCCTAGCAAATCTTAATCACACCAGCAAGCCCATTCTTGTCTCACCAGCCCGACAATTATCATCTCACCAGCAAGCCCATTTTGTCTCACTAGCCCAATTATAATCTCACCAGCCATAAATACTTGCAATACAAATTCTCTCACACCTAAAGCCAGAGAGTAGCAGAGGCTTGAACTTAAGGTGAAGAAAGTGCACGCATCCAGCAAGTAGTCTAAAGCATTTGCCCGTAGCATAACTAATGAATATGGTCAGCATGTAGATGGCTGTAAACGTCGTGCATTTCTGAGCTGTAAGCAACTCCGGCATCAGAGTGCAAAGACTCAAAATGATAACTTCTGAACCCATGATTATCGAAATTCTACTGCTTCCCCTACATGAAGCAACCTGACTCATGATTCTTGCAGTTCGACTACTTCCCCTTCAATTCTATGCAATGAACTTGGAGATTTTGCGGGCTGTAAACTAACTCCCTAGTTTCCTCTGTTTGTTTTGATTGCGTTCCCGCCAGGAATCAATCCCTGGCCTTGCTGTTTGTTTGATTTTCTGCATTTTGGTTTAGCCGGGATTTGATCCCTGGCCCTGTCTCCTGTTAGGGATGAGTTCTTTGTATAGCACAGCCGTTACTCTTGTTTTCCTTTTAGGGGTTGTCTGTCCTTTTAGCACAGACGTTACTTTTGTATAGCACATCAGTATTGTAGACTAGCTGTTGGTCGGTCCGCCGTACGTCACCGCAGTCCATGGTAGTTCCTAGACTGTTGGGTCGGTCGTAGAATATACTAAAGGCCAGAGGGAAAAGTTGTGCAGGCTTTTGGCTCATCATTTTTTTCTCACTTTTCACTTTTCACTTGGAAGTGGAAAACGGAGTAGCACTCTTCAGCAACTGCATTATTTTTCCAAGCAGCACAGCTCTTCATGGTGGTTGGCTGGCAGCCATAGCTGGGGCCTTCCAGCATCCTAGGTGGCAGCGCAGAGCATCAGGCCCCATGCGCTGTAAGAGAGGTTCCTCCATCGTGTCCTGTTGGGTTTGATAGCTGCCATTGAAGCAGCTTTGACTTACCTTCTTCGAAGTGGCAGAGGTCTTCATCCTCATTGAAGTGGAAGTCCTTCGTCTTCCTCTTGGGAGCTGGTGTTCCCTGCTGGCGGAGCGTTACCGGCAGCAGAATGGGTTCTGAGTGGTTGCTGACTGGGCGATGGAGTCTCCTAGGTAGTGTAGACTAGCTGCTGGTCGGCCCGTTGTAGGTCACAGCAGTCCATGGTAGCTCCTAGGCTGTTGGGTCTGTCATAGATTCTACTAAAGGCTAGAGGGCAAAGTTGTGCGGGCTTTTGGCTCGTCATTTTTTTTTTTTTTCGCAATTGGAAGTGGAAAACGGAGGGGCGCTCTTCAGCAGCTGCATTACTTTTTCAAGCAGCACAGCTCTTCATGATGGTTGGCTGGCAGCCATAGCTGGGGCCTTCCTAGGTGGCAGCGCAGGGCATCAGGCCCCATGCACTGTAAGAGAGGTTCCCCCATTGTGTGCTGTTGGGGTTTGATAGCTGCCATCGAAGCAGCTTTGACTTACCTTCTTCGAAATGGCAGAGCTCTTCATCCTCAATGAAGTGGATGTCCTCAGTCTTCCTCTTAGGAGTTTGCACTCCCTGCTGGCTGATCGTTACCAGCAGCAGAATGGGTTGTGAGTGGTTGCTGACTGGGCGCTGGAGTCTTCTAGGGTTTCCAGATCTTTGCATGACAGAACTGACACTGTCGCCCACAAGGGTGGACTGAACCACAAGAGGTCCAGTTGCAACGAACCCAGTCTAGTAGATACTCAGAAGTCGTCAAACACAAATAGTCTCAGTACCTGCAACAGAGTCTCCAAACAATAACTCGTTACCATTAGACGAAGAGAGTGGAGGTGGATCAGACAGAGGAGAAGGTGAAAGAGATGATAAAAGATCACAGAAGAGTAATTCCACCAAACCCCTCTCCTTCTCTGGGCTTCTTCCCTCTCCACCTCAACAACCAGAAGATGATAACAAGTATAGTAGTCCTGATCACACACAGTAGTGCCACGTGGCACTCCTACTCCGTGAAGACTATGAAGACACAGAAGACTCCAGTGACGACGTCAATCCTCAGGTGAGTACCCGATCTCTCTCATCCACAGATCCTGATCTTCCTCCTCCTTGCAACCAGTCACCTCATGTAGACAGCGTGGACAATGCCACATCAGCAATCGAGACAGGTGGCATTCACCACATCATCAATGTAGACCAGAGGAAGCGCCACATCATCATGCGATGTAGACCAGAGGCAGCGCCACATCATCATGCAATGTAGACCAGAGGCAGCGCCACATCATCATGCGATGTAGACCAGAGGCAGCTCCACATCAGCATTGCCTGGCGCACAAAAGAAGTGCCAGCATGCTGCCTCCACCTCGTGCCGTCGTCCGCAACGCCTGTGCGCAGCCAGCCTGTAGCCAGCATCGCACCATCATAAAGCCCGCATCTAGTCAAAGTCAAGCCAGCGTCCAAACAGCATATCAAGACTGAATGCTTGACTCACTCGAGGCCAGCCTCAAGTAACAGTTGTCGAGGCTGTCTGGCCTCGGGTGTTTTTCCCACAGTCGTCCAGATTGACTCACAGCTGAGGGCCCGGATTGTACAGTTGCAGACTGAGTCTTTGTTTGGGGTCCTTTTTGCCCCAGTTTCGGCCTGGGCTGAGGGCGGCCAAATTGGCCCTCAGTCTTTCCACGAGACATATTGCATGGGTTATTGCACAGTAGCCAGCCCTGAAAAAAGAGTGCTGAAAGGATTTAACAGTTAGTTGTCCATCTTGGTCCCCGTCCCAATTCCAGTCCCAGACCTGGTCCCATGCCCCGAGTCAGAACCAGTACCAGCAGGACAATAGGCCGTTATAGGTAGATTCCAGTGGTTTCCGGTAGGACAATCGGCCGTTATAGGTAGATTCCAGTCCCATGCCCTGAGTCAGAACCAGCACCAGCAGGACAATAGGCCGTTATAGGTAAATTAATCGATGGAGAGGAGGTTAGGTTTGACCGAAGAAAACATGGTCAGGTCAGGGGGAATTAACTCAGCTGGCGGTGGCGACTAGGAGCAAGAGATCATGGAGATTCATCATGAAGCAATTGCAGAGAAGAAACTCTCAACACTTTTTCGTAGAAAAGTCCACACTGGTTCCTTTTGCAGGTAAGGCCCCCAAAATTCAGAAAATTCCGAAAATGGCCTTGGTCAGTGTACAGCCCGCTGAGAGACTAAAAATTCAGGTGCGAATCATGCCATGCATGGTTGGCCTCAAAACAGTGTAAACAACCACAATATCACTCCAGAATAATGAGAGGGGGTCAAGGGAGGAAAAGCACGGTGCGCGCGCGCGCGAGAGAGAGAGACAGAGAGAGAGAGAGAGAGAGAGAGAGAGAGAGAGAGAGAGAGAGAGAGAGAGTGCATTCTTTCCAGCTGAGGTTTCAATATTTGTGGTGAAGATGGGTAGAGAGCAGGGAGAGAGTAGAATGAGAGCACCAACCAAAAGGGCTGGGGGAAATTCACAGCAGTCAAACAGCAGCCATCATGAGAAAAAGGGAGAGAGACAGATGGAGTTCTGGAGGAGGGGCAGAGTGTGGGGTGGACAGTGGGGGAGAAAGAGAGAGAGAGAGTGGGTTCTTCTCCAATGTCGGTTTCAGTGGGCGGGGGCGGGGGGAGAGAGTGAGTGAGAGAGAGAGAGAGAGAGAGAGAGAGAGAGAGAGAGAGAGAGAGAGAGAGAGAGAGAGAGGGTTCTCTCCAATTTCAGTTTCAAAATTTGAGGTAGAGATCCCCGAACAGAGCATGAGAGGAGGGGGAACAAGAGAGTGAGCTGTTCGACAAAAGGGCCATTAGAAATAGTCCCCCACCAGCCGTGCTACAACCCTCTCAACCAAATCTGATTGCATGTGCAGTCAGTGGCATACACAGTGGGAGTGTTTGCAGCATCCTTGTTTTTTGCCATACCTCCCTCTTGTTGGGGGGACAGAACAGCCATGCTCTCTCTCTCTCTCTCTCTCTCTCTCTCTCTCTCTCTCTCTCTCTCTCTCTCTCTCTNNCACACACACACACACACACACACACACACACACACACACACACACACACAAACACCTCAGTAACATACACACGGAGTTTTTGCAGCTTCGTTCTATAGAAACAAACCCCACCTAAACTTTTGCCCGCCCACCCGCAAAGCTATCACAATCGCCTGGTTACCATGGTGAAGAACATTTAACAGGTACCGCCGACACAGGCAGCTTAACAAGAGCAACCATCCACCCAACCACTGTTACAATTTGGAGTCACGGTACCTTAAGTTTGCGATCATGGGTAGTCAGCCAAGCTCTGACCATGAAGTCACGAAAGCTTGCATGGATGGAAGCAACCCCATCACCCAAATTTAGGCCCTGGTTCAACAAGAAAGCATTGAGCGCTGCCACCAACTTCTCGGCAATACGTCCCTCGTCTCTACAAAAGGTATCCAGGAGCATAGTGCACAATGGTGTCAGTTTATTTCATTGGCGTCAGATCTCTCCTTTCACTGACTCCAAGTCAGCACCAGACAGCCCAATCGTTTCCGGGCACTGCGTAACAAAGCTTGCTTATCAATAAGTCAAGCCACCACTGCCCCCAAAGCAAAGATGGGCATACTGGTAGAAGCAAAAGATGCAGCCAGAGATTTTTTACAAGCCATCCGAAATGTTTTTAATTCTTCTTACCTTTTCGAAAAAGAATGAGCACTCAATCTACGCCCCTATTTTTTCTCAGACTTCTTGTAAGAAATTCCGAGCACGAAAAAACACAACATCTGCCGGTGCACTCAATTTTCGCTCATCAGTAGCTCCAGTGCTTGGCTTTCTTTGACAAAGGGAAACAAGAACTCGCAACCACTTAGCTATCTTGAGTCTTCGCAAGATCAAGAAAGAGATTTCCAACTTACTGATGATGCCAAAAAATCATTGTGAAATAGGATCCTCTGCACATTGTACTGTTACAGAATGTTAGACCAACAGTACACCCGGTTCTCACAGCATTCCACTGAGCGCCAAGCTTTCCTGAACCGCCAGCCAGCAGTGCGCTTCTTTTCTTTTGTGGCTGAAGTCGCCAGCCATTGTGGTTTGGTAGCCCTGAGCGTCCGAAATTTCCGTAGGCACTGAAAGATTTTTCCACAAGGCTGGCGCCATGTACTGGCATCCGGTAGCCCTGAGTGTCCGAAATTTTGATAGGCACTGAAAGTTTTTCCCACAAGGCTGGCGCCATGTACTGGCAATACTGTTACAAGCTATCTTTTTCGTTTACGTATTACTAGAAGGACATAACACAGCCCTTAAGCTTAGGATTTAGGGTTGATTCTAGGTTGATTCTAGGCGATCAAGGGTTGAGACTCAAGGGTTCACACCTTTCAGGGTTCAGGGTCTTTTTTCATTCAGGCTTTTGTTCAAGGGTTCGCTTAGGGGTTTGTTTAGAGGTTCACGAAGGTGTTCGTGTAGGGTTTGTGCAGGATTTTTGTAGGAATTTGCTCCTGGATACCTTTTGTAGGGTCCTAGAAGGGGTTCGCGTAGGGTTTACCCTGGATACCTTTTGTACGGTCCACGCCTTTTGCAGGGGTTTGCACAGTGGGCTTCAGCAGGGGTTTGTACAGGGCTTTGTGAAAGGGTTTGTGTGTGGGGTTTCTGTAGGTTTGTCTAGGGGTTTGTATAGAGGTTTGTGTAGGGGTTCGTATAGGGGATTGTATAGGGGTTTGTGTGGGGGGTTGCACACGGGTTTCTGCAGGGGTTTGTCTAGGAAGGGTTCGTATAGGGGATTATATAGGGTTTTTTTGCGGGGGTTTGCACAAGGGTTTCTGCAGGGGTTTGTCTAGGAATTTGCAAAGAGGTTTGTAATAGTGAAATGTGCCTCAAATACAGATATAAAGTCGGTGCGTTCTATTCCCGGGAAGACAGTACCAATCATTACCATCTGCACCTATCCGACGATGAATGAAGTTGATATTGTCATTGTTTTTCTCAGTTGCCAGGGGACTGTGATGAAGCGCAAAGACTGACGTGTTAACTAACTTAGAAACATGAACCATCTGAGTTATTCTCTTGACCTTTTGCCATCTATAGTTTGTTCCTTTCAAGCATCCACATGCCCAGCCCCTCCTCCTCCTCTTCCTCCATCCCTTGCCGTCTTTGTTCAAAAGCTTTCTTTCTCTAACCTGCCTTTATGGCCTCATGCTCTGACTGAAGGACCGTGGGATTATGATTGAGGGTACGGACGGGTACAGGCGGGTGTGGGTGCTGAAAGAAATGCCAGCTTTGGGTGGGTGTGGGTGGGATTATGCTCGAGGGTCTGGGCGGGGACAGGTGGTGAAAAATATGTCCAGGTCTGTGAAGGTTCAGCTGCAATTCTTCTTCAAGGCCTGGGCTTGGCCGGGCCCAGGTGTGTACCCTCAAACCAGGCCTAGCTGCTTCAGGCCAGGTTGTGGGGATTTTTAAACCACAGTTATGGATGGCTGCAGATGGCAAATATTATGTTGGTTCCACATGGGTCAGGTGGGGGTGCGGGAGAAGTACAAGGTTGTGAGCTCTAAGGGGTCCCCTGCGTGAAAGAACATTCCACCAGAACACCGCAAAATGCAAGTTTACCATGTTTGACAAGCACAACAGCATTTGTGAGATGAGTGGAGAATAAGAAGTTGAGTTTCCCAAAGCCAGCCACCAATTGGGGAACACAGGTAGAAAAGCAATGAACAAGAATCCCCTACCCAATTTGTCAAAATAAGTTCAGGTCATCAGTTATCAATCCCAATGTGGTGGACCACCCTCGAAGCCCACATAATTCTCAGTGACCGATTGTGTACAAGTACCATGAGGGAAAGTGCAACAGTAAGGAGGAGGAGGAGGAGGAGGAGGAGGAGGAGGAGGAGGAAGAGGAAGAGGAGGAAGAGATTTTGCAGGCAATCAAAATATCACAAAAACAAAGTACTCTGCTCTCTGACCTCAACCGCTCGAAGATCTGGCAAAACATGTCCACTGTCTCATCACGCAGTGAATCAGGAAAGTCACCAGGTGGATTCTGAAGAAGGGTGAACATGGTCAATGCATTACGGAATCCTTCTTCAGTACGTGTGCTCTTCGTATGCACCATCTCCAACACCTTCTCAGTGTACAAATGCAAGAGCTCTGTGGCCATCAGACAACAAAACATAGACATTGCAAAGTGTTGACATCATTCACAATTGTCTTTGCTCATTGTTCTCCGCCAACTTTCCAAGTATAAAATCTATGGTCTACCCTTAAAAATGCTTTCTGGTTCCGACCGCTTCCAATCTGCTGCTTCTTTTTTCACTTGATTAACTGCTTTCAATCTGAAGTACACTGTGCGCCTTTCCAGTCGATTCGTCAATCACCCAGTCTAGATCTATCCCCAGATGTTTCGCAAAGTTGAAACAGATTAATGGGCACAACCGACTCCAAGGAATGATATCCATAACAAAACAGAGTTCGTTCTTTTTTACTGTGTCACCTCCTTCATTGCTATCCAGAGGTGAACGGTATTAATGACCTGCTGATTATAATAACTCTATGGAATCTGACTGTTTGACATTTCCTATCCAAACCGAACAATGATAGGTAATGCATACACCAAAAGAACAACAGAGAACAGATTTTCAATCTCACGGCAAACATCCTCAATCATCTCCAGACTGAAGTGCAAATCCCTGCCCATCTTTGCAATCATGAACCGCACCAGTAAAATAGTGCATTTAAGATTCAGATTTTAGCATATAGGGTTAGGGTTTAGGTTTTATAGTCTAGGGCATTGTTGCACCCCCCAAAGGTCAGCGGCCCTTGACTGGTGGGCTTCCGACCCGCCGACCGATCGGCTGGTCGGCACCTACCGGTCGGGGGTTGTCGGCACCCTGCAAATAACCCCCAATAACACATCCAACACCCCCATAGCGTCCCCCAATACCCCCA